GTCTTCCTCCTGCCTCCGTCCTCCGTATCTTCCCTTCATCCCCCTTGCCTCCATTCGTCCCCCTATCCTGCCTTCCGTCGTCATTCATCCTTCCTCGTTCCGTTCCGCTTCTCACCAAATACATGTCCCCATCTCGTGCACCTTGAAAGCTAACGCAATGCATTTGGCCAGTTCTTGGCTCACATGGTTTGTCGACTTATGTTTTGGTTTCTCCGCTTTGCAGTTCATCGATGTTTGCCAGGACGAGCACTTATGGAGTGGGGAGGGCTGGATCACTCAAGCGGTCCGCCTTCGACATAGGAAGACCCTGCACAACGTTCGAATAATCAAGCTATAGTGGCCTTGGGCCTATCCAATTATGCTCTTTGATGTGCTGGTCGTGGGCCAACAACTATTTGGGAAACCGATTAAGGGGTCTCTTGGGGGCCCTCTTGGCAACCTCTCGGGAGCCTCTTGGCGGCGTCTTGCAGGCCTTCTGGACTCTTTGAGGCCTCTCGGGGGCCGTCTTGGGGGATCTTGGGTCCATCCTGGGAGGACGGCTTCCAGCAGTCTGGCGGTGACGCGTTTTTGTTAGCCCCCCAGTATTTCAAAATGACTACCTCACTAGAGGCTACGGCCTTCCCGCGCAAGCGACTAGACGATGCGTCGTGTCCGAGGGACGTTCGTTCGCTCGTTCAGGGCCGTTTTGGAATCACGCGCCAAGCCCTGGAAGGCCTGGGGACACTCTACTCAGTGCCTGCGGTACGGTCGGCGGCGAAAAATTCAGAGAGCTTTCAGGAGTTTCGGATTCTCCCCCCAGGGGGGGGGGGCGGCTGCGGGGAGAACCATCCTCCTCCCGCGGCTGGCGTTGTTGTCGCGAGGAGCAGGGGATGAGATGAAGGTTGCGAATGCGCTCATGGGGCTACCCATCCGCCCCCAGGTGCGTCCGCGGACGACTGGGACGACAAGGAAGGGTACTACAAGGCGACGGCCTGTCTGGAAGCGCGCGTGCGCGACGGGCTCCAGCCTCGGACTGATGCCTGACCGGCTCGTGGCACGCAGCCTCGGGCCGAAGTCCGTCTTGGTTGGCGACGGATCGTCGTCGGCGACTTCGCCGTCTCGAGCACTTTGGGTGTGCTTCTGGGGGTTCTCGTCGCCACGGCTGGACGCGGGGGATTTGCTCTGAGCGGATTTGGTTCGGGGGCCCGTAGCCATTTTGGCTCCAGTCCGTAACAGTTTCGCTCAGTCGGAGGTTTTGGGGGGTGAGATCGAAGTGGAACAGATGTTCCCCCCTACCGGGAAATCGGTTTCGGTTTCGTGTTCGTGCGTGCCGTGCGTGCGGGCGAGGCGAAGCTGCGTGGGCGGGCGAGAAGAAACTCTCCTCCGGCTGAGGCGCGGCTGGACCAAATGATTCCTGACCCGGGGCGGGTGGCGCGCGGTGTCCCGCGGGTGTCCCGCCTGTGTCCCGTCGGTGTCCCGATGATGATGATGATGATGATGATGATGATGATGATGATGATGATGATGATGATGATGATGATGATGATGATGATGATGATGATGATTATGATGCTGATGCTGATGCTGATGCTGATGCTGATGCTGATGCTGATGCTGATGCTGATGCTGATGCTGATGCTGCTGTTGTTGACGATGATGATGATGATGCTGATGATGATGATGATGATGATGATGATGACGATGATGATGATGATGATGATGATGATGATGATGATCATGATGATGATGATGATGATGATGATGATGATGGTGATGGTGGTGATGATGAAGGTGTCCCGATGATGGTGATGATGATGTTGATGATGGTGTTAATTATGAGGATGTTGCTGATGATCATGGTGGTGAAGATGATGATGATGATGCTGCTGATGATGATGATGTCCCGATGATGATAATGTTGATGAGCATGATGACGTTGATGATGATGATGAGATGATGAGATGATGATGATGATGATGATGATGATGAGATGGTGATAATGATGATGATGATGATGATGATGATGATGATGATGATGATGATGATGATGATGATGATGATGATGATGATGATGGTGAACTTGTGAGATCGATCGTGCGATGGATTGCGAGATCGATCGTTATATCGATTTTGACATCGATTGTGGGATTTGTCGTGAGAGATCGATAGTGCGATCTGTAGTGAGATGGATCGCGATATCGATAGTGGGATCGATAGTGAGGTCGACGATAGCGACATCGCCAGAGAGAGTGATAGAGAGATCGATCGTGATATCGATCGAGTGGGATCGATAGTGAGACCGACAGTGGGATCGATCGAGTGAGATTGATCGTGTGATACATCGGGGGAGATCGATTGTGAAATCGATGGTGTGGTCCATTGTGAGATCGATTGAGTGGGACGTTGGGTCCGCCCCCCCGTCAACTCTCTTACCACAGGGATTTCGGCTCAAGGCTTCTGATGCACTCGGTAGTGATATCGATACTGAGATCGCTGTGGTGCCCCGAGGTGTCCCGTGGTGTCCCGTTGAGTGAGATCGATAGTGAGAACGACAGGTGTCCCGTAGTGTCCCGTGGTGTCCCGTTGAGTGAGATCGATCGTGAGATCGATAAAGGGATCGATAGTAAGATCGGTAGGTGTCCGAGGTGTTCCGTGGTGTCCCGTTGAGTGGGGTCGATAGTGGGATCGATCGTGAGATCGATAATACGGTCGACGTGGTGTCCCGAAGTGTCCCGTGGTGTCCTATGGTGTCCCGCTGAGTGAGATCGACAGTGAGATCGATCGTGAGATCGACAAGTGTCCCGCGGTGTCCCGAAGTGTCCCGTGGTGGCCTATGGTGTCCCGCTGAGTGAGATCGATCGTGAGATCGATCGTGAGATCGACAAGTGTCCCGCGGTGTCCCGTGGTGTCCCGTGGTGGCCCGTGGTGTCCCGTGGTGGCCCGTTGAGTGAAATCGACAGTGAGATCGACGAGTGTCCCGTGGTGTCCCGTGGTGCGAGATCGATCGTGTGATCGGTTGAGTCGGATGTTGTTTCCCCCCCGCTCCCCCCCCCACAAACTCCCTATCACCCGAAGGGTGGTTGTAGGTTACTTGGGATTGTGGCAAGGAGGAAGTTCGGCCCCCACAGTCATCACGCTGGTGATGCAAGCCAGGGCACAGCCATCTGATACCCAGCCTCGGTTCTCGTGTCCATTGCCATCCACGGTTCGCTTGATGGCACCTTGGCACCACGCTTCTCGCGCCCACCATCTTTCGGCTTTGCAGGGGGCAGCGCCATGGATATGTGGACACTGCGGCGTTGGCGGCAACTTCGCCACGAAGATGCAGTGCCGCGCCTGCCTGGCGCCCGCGCCGCGAGCCATCCAGCAGGCCATCGCGCGCGGCCATGGAGGAGCTGCCAGCCCACTTCCCATGGCAGCCGGTCGGTAAAAGGTGCCGAGGGCAAGGGCGCTGATGATGTTGTTCGCTAGTATGCTGGCGGTGTTTGGGGCTACTTCGGCTCTGGCGTGGACGTGTTCAAGCCCAGGCCGCAGCAGCAGCAACAGCAGCAGCAGCAGCAAGCAGGGCCCGATGGCGCCGACCATTGCTGCCCTCGACAAGTCCGCTGCAGCTTTGGAGGCGTTCGAGGACTCCAGCCTGGCTTAGGTCCTGGAGGGAAAGCGCAAGGCCCGAGCCGACCTGGTGGCCGAGCGCAGGGCAGGCGAGCCCCTCGACCATCAGCTGCAGCAGCTGGAAGGCAAGATGGCGGCTGTCGACAGGAAGCTCGGGCGCCTGCGCGAAGAGGTCGTGACCGACCTCGAGCGGCGCCTGGCCCAGGCGCTGGAGCAGGAGCGGCTCTTGGACGCAGGAGCTGGAGGCGCTGCAGCAGGAGAAAGCCGACCTCGCCCAACGCCTGGCCCAGCAGCAGCAGCCGGCACAGCCTGATGGAGCTGCGCGCGGCGCAAACGGCGGGCCCCACTGCGGCCCAGAGGTGTCGCAGCAGTTGGTCAGCGGCCTGGAAGCGCGGGTCTGCGCCGACGCCGTTGGCGACGCCAACGTGGAGAGCGCTCCGCTGCCCGAGGGCGTGGCCCAGGCGTTTCGCAAACTGCTGGGGCTGGGCAAGGGGTTCCCAGGTGGGCGCTGGGGCTGCCGTGGCGCCATCTGCCGCGCCTGCAGCCCAGCGCGCGCCCGCTGCTCCTGGCGCTGGAAAGGGAGCTCCCGACGCAACCCTTGGCACAAGCTCTGGAAGCGGCCCGCCCGCCGCCGCCGCCCCGTGGGCATGGGGGACGCCAAGCGCAAGCGCGAGCAATTCGCGGCGAACCTCCCAGAGGAGGGGCGGGCGGCCAAGCTGGTCGTGCCGGGCTCTTCCTACGAGAAGCACGGGGGGGCAGCGCTGCCGATGCCGCCGCAGGGGGGTTTGCCGCCCTACCGCTGGCCGCGGCGACAAGCGCCTAAGGCGCCGCCAGCCCCGAGGGGCTCGCTACATCCTCGCCTCCTCCTTCAACGCCAACCAGTCCTGGCCGCGGGTGGAGGAGCTCTTGGGGGAGGATATCGCCACCTTCCTTGACCGCGCAAGGGGGCGCGCCTGCCAGTGCAGTCCGGGAGCACAGCGAGCCTGCGGACTGGCTGCAGGTTTCGGCGGTGGCCATGTGGGGCCGCGGCTGGCGCGTGGCTGGTGCCCCTGCCACCCTCGCTGAGGAGGGTGGCCACTCCGCTGGTGTCGCCCTGGTCACTCCCGCCTGTCTCGCGCTGACCATGGCTCCTGGGCAGGAGGACTGGGACATCTCGCCAGTCGGGGCCCCAGTGCGGCTCTGCCTAGGCCTCGCGGGGGCGAGGGGCATCGGCTGGGTCGCGTTGTTCTCGCTGTCTCGCTGTGCATCTTCATTGGCAGGCCCGTCGCGTGGAGCCTGAACGCTGCCAGTCTGGGCGCAGCGGCTCATCGGGTCGCTCGGATACGCGCCCATTGCATCGCCGTGGGAGATTTCCACGGCGAGCCCGACAGTATCCTTCGCAGCCCTTGGAATTCTGAAGTGCGAGGGTACGTTCTGGCTTGGCAAGGGGAGGGCGGCGCTTGCCGTTCCGAGACCGTCGAGCAGGGCGTGGAGTTGCACGTGGATCGGGTGGTCGACGTCTGCTGGATGGGCGGGCGCTTGGCCGCCATCTTCGGGGGCGCGCAGTCGCTCGACCCGACCGAGCGCCCTCCGCCAGGTGCCCCGCCGTCGGTGCCCATGGAGTGCCCCAGCTTCGACCTCGCGCAGGGCGCGCAGCGACAGCTAGACGAGGGCTGGCAGCACTCCTGCAACGCCGCGGAGGCTGAGCTGCGCGCGCTGTTCGGCTGGGCCCAGGCCGAGGCGCGGAGGTTTGAGGGTCGGGGCGTGACTCCTGAGGCGGTGGAAAGGCAGCTGCCCCCCAAGCAGCGGAGTCCCATCGCGGACCGGGGGCCTGCATGGGCCTGGCGACGGGCCGCGGGTGACTCGGCTGGGTTTGGCCAGCTGGTCTGCTGTGTCCTGGGGAGCGCGCCCATGTCCAGGGAGCGGCCTTCAGGGGCCACGGCCGCCGCCACTTCGGGAGGCGAGCCCCCTCGCGAATGCGTCGGGGAGGTCTCGCGCCAGCTGGGGCGGGCCTGGCGCGCGCTGCTGCTGGCGCGGCACCGCTGGGGCCAGATGGAGCCCCGGGGTGTTTTCCTGGCCCCCGCGCTGCGGGGGGCGTCGGACCACGCGCCCGCGGTCGGCGTCGCCGAGCTGACGCGCAGTCCTTGGAGCAGGCCCTCACGCGTCAGAGGGCGGCGCGCTTCTACGAGCGCCTGGGCGACAGGTTTCCTGGTTCGGGCGGCTACCCGCGCGAGATATGCTTTGGAAGCGCATCTGGAAGGGGCCAGTCTCTTCAGTACACAAGGTGAAATTGGGAGCCGATCATCAGCAGGCCGTCGACGCGGAGGTGCAGGAGTGGGCTGGAATCTGGATCTGGAGATGGAGTGCACCACGAGCTTTGGCAAGGTCAATGCGTTCGTCGGATCGCCTTGGAAACGCGGGGCAACTACCGCCACATGATGCACGGCAGATGCTACAACTTGTCGCAGCTACAAATGGCGAGCTGGGCTTAGTCTGGACGGCTGGCACGTGGGTCATTTGGCTTGGCACAGTGATGACTGCCTGGGCTGTCTGGCGCATTCGCTGATGTTGCGCGAGCGACTCTGCACTTTGCCGCGGGCGATTCAGTTACTTATTCTTTTCTTGGCTACCAAGGAAGATGGAAGAGGGCGGCCAACCACATTGTTTCCGACACCTTTTCGCATGTCGGGAGTTGCCAGGGATCCTCTCGCCCGTTCTGGAGAAAAGCAGCATCTCAAGCCTTGCGATTGGGCGCGCCTGGCAGGAGCAGTGATCACGCAGTTTGGAGGACGACGCTGGATGGCGAAGCTTTGGAAGGCGCGCCTTGTCATTCCGTGTTCTCTCTGATGGACCTGGAGAGGGCATGTGAGTACACCTTTTGACTTTGATCTGGAACTTTGGTTCGGTGCAGGCAGCGCCCACGAGCGTGCTGGCTCCGTCGCTTGAGCCCCGCGCCTTCCCGCGGAGGGTGCGCAAGTGCCAGGCGTTGGCCGATGCCTTATCCACCTGCGCGGACCTGCCAGCGGGGGCCGAAGTGCGCCAATCGTGTCCTGATGGTGGTGCTCACCCCATCCGTGACCTCATCGTGCCATGGCCGGGCGCAAAGCTGGAGGCCGCCAAATGCTAAACGCTTCGCGTATCCCCACCAGCTTCGGTCTGTTTCCGTGCCCCGGACAGCTTCTGTCGCCGCCTGCGTTCTTCGCCCACGGCCGCGACCGAAAAAGTTTCCCCACCAGTCCATCCAGAAACGATGCCCAGGCGACTTGAGAGGCGATCAGGCAGTACGGGAGCAAAGATGGGGACGGGCGAACCGTGTGAAGGAGAGAGGGGTCGAAGGATAACATTGGATGGATGGATGAAGGAGTAGGGAGAACTATAATTAATATGATGAGGATGAGGAGGAGGCGGAGGGGAAAGAGGATGATGATAAGGGATAGGAGGAGGAAGGAGGAGGAGGAGGAGGAGGAGGAGGAGGAGGAGGAGGAGGAGAGAAAGCAGAAGGGCCAGAGGTCTCTTGGATGTTTCTCGGAGCCTCTTGGGGTATCTCGTGTGCGTCTTGGGACGTTTTGGGGGTCTCTTGGCGGTCGTGGGGGGCTCTTCGGCGTCTTGGGTGCCTCGGGGGGGCTTTTGGGGGCCGCTTGGGATCCTCTTGGGTGCCTCCTTGGGGCCTCTTGGGGGCCTCTTGGGGCCATCTTGTGACCATCTTGGGACCTCTTGGGGCCTCTTGGTTGCTTCTTGGGGCCATTTTGGAGGAGATCGATCAGACAAGAGGGGAGCATTAATTGGCGCCCCCCCCCAAAGAGGCCAACACGGGGCCAAAACCGTAGTACCACCACTGATGTTGGTTTCCTCGCCGATTCCGTGTTGGACCCTCCGACGACTCACTCTTGGAACCCCCCGTCCAGGTCCAGGGGAGGGGATAGGGGGAGGGGTAAACCCTTCCCCGAAGGGAAGAAGGAGGGGTGGAAGAGGAAACGCCCTAAACCACCGACGCCCACAGGGCTGGTGGGATTCGTGGACGACCTCGCGCCCCGCCTCGTGGGCACCGCGACAGTTCGGGGAAGTCGTCCCCCGCGTTGGCCAAGGCCTTGGCCACCATGCTGGAGAGCGCGCTGCAGCTGAAGGTCTCGAAACGGGCCGAAAGGCAAGTCCAAGTTCGCTGCCAGCGACGCGGACCTGACTGACAAGCGTGCCGACTCCCGCGCGAGACGGCGCAGAGGAGCATGTGGCGCCCAGATGGAGAGCCGATCAAGTAAAGGCCGATTTGAAACTTATGCGTGGGGATTTAAGTTTTGTGGCCTCGCTCCGTGTTAAATTGTCGGGGTCCAATGTGGCCCCCACGAGCCTTTCCCCTCCCGCCGCGGGTCGTGCTCGGAAACGGGGGCGCGTGGCCCGCCGAGCGGCTGTCCCCGCGCGGACCCACCGCTTCAGGCTCCTTGAGGGTGGCACTTGGATGTGTTTGGCTTGCCCCCGCACCGTCCTCCTCCCCAAGCGGCTGGCCATGGCCCGAAGGGAGGAATGCCCTGGGTGGGAGGGCGGCGCTCGCCAGGGGCAGGGCCCGTCTAGTTTCCAAGTCCCTGGTCCACGGAAACGGTGGTCCTAGGGGGCCCAGTTTTGTGTCGAGCGCCGAGGTCGGGGCCGAAGCGAGCTCCAGATGTATCCCGCCCCCACCGCGCCAGCACGAGGTGGTCGAGCGGGCGGGGTATGCAGTTTGTGTGGTTTGCGGTGATTTCGCAAAGTCTCGGGCTCAGAAGCTGTTGCTGCGAGAGTGCGAAGGTCCTTTGCAGAAGGGCGTCGTGGCCCATAAGAGTCGACGGCGCTACTTAGATCGGCTCCTCGACCATAGGGATCCCTGCACAGGCAAGCCTGTTCGGGAGGAGGTTTGATCGAACTGTGAAGTTTTTGTTCGGCCAGGTGGTGAGTGGTTGTGAGGCCCGCCCCCAGGGGTCCCCAGGACAAGGTTCGGTTCGGGGGCAGGGCGAAGGGGGGGCGTCGCTGCAAGGTCCGTGGGACTCAAAGGGGGCCTCCAACAGTGCCAGCGGGCTTCTGATGCGTGGGGTGCCTTGAGAAGGCCCTTCTCCCTCGCCCTGCCCCCTTTTGCCTTGTGGACGACGATCCATGGAGAGGAAGCACGTTGCCAAATAATGCCCAGACTTCTAAAACATGTTTTAAACATGTCTTAAACATGCACAACACATGTTTAAAGCATTGCTTGAGCATGTTCCGGCATGTTTTAACACATGCTTAACTCCGGCATAGTGTTTCCCACCCTCTTCGTCACCCCCCTCTTGGCCGCTCCCGAAATGCAACCGTAGGATTGTTTGGGTGTCGATTGACATGACATCCACACTTTCTATTGTAATCCGAGGCCAGTCGGTTCTAAGCAGCGGGCGCACACTTTTCAAATGGCGGGCTTTTTCCTGCCTGCTTATCGGCCTTGAGCAGCCGTTGTGGCTCCCACCTCCCCTCGGGAACTGCGATGCCCTAGGCTCGCTCGTCTTCGGAAGGCGGAGGTTCTCATCCCGACCGCTGCTTGAGGGATCAGTCATCGGGGACACTGGTAGGCGGTGGAGATGGATACATTGGGGTCCTGATGGGGGCCAAATCATCGTATGTCTACCGGCTGCCAAAGTCCCCGAAGATCGACCCCCCAGGAGGTGGTCATGGAAAGTTCCCCGCTTCGCGCATCTGCTCTGACCAGGCCCGTGGCGTCACGAGGAAGTCGTCGCGGCCGAACGGGATGATGAGCTGTCTCCGGGGAAGGCGTCGAGATGATTTGGGGACCGCGTGTTGACACACAACGACGTCGGAATTGTCGAGCTCTGCGTTCCCAGCCCTATGGTGCTCTCGGCGCTCGAACCAGCGCACGACGACGGTCCTGAACGCCCCGAGGGCCTGAGAGAGGCTTACCGGCGGGGGGAGGCGAGACGCCGAGCACAGGAGTCGGGCGTCGTGCTCTTGCCGCGGGCAGGTCGGAGCGCACGACCGTGGCATGCTCGCAGCACGCTCGTGCGCGCGCGCTGTGGCGGGGCCCCGCCCAGGCGAAGATCGGGGAGGTCATGGGCGGGCGCTACCTCGTGACCGAGGACAAGTGCGGGCAGGCCCGCCTCAGGGCAGTCGGGGCAGCTGGGCGGGCGGGCGGGCGGACGGGCGTCCGGGGTGCTTTCCCGTGCGGCAGATGGGCGTGGTGTCGGGAGAGAGAGAAAGAGAGAGATAGAGTGCGAGCGAGAGAGAGAGAGAGGGAGCGAGAGCGATATGTTTGTATACGCACATGTACCTATACGACCACCCTTGGGGTGATAAGGAGGTTGTGGGGGAGAGAGGGGGGAACCAACATCTGACTCAATCGATGTCACCATCGATCTCACTCAACGGAACACCGCGGGACACCACGGGACACTTGTCGATCTCACTATCGATCTCATTATCGATCTCACTCAACGGGACATCACGGCACACCACGGGCCACCATGGGACACCACGGGACACCGCAGAACACCTCTCGGTCTCACTATCGACCTCATTATCGATCTCACTCAACGGGACACCATAGGACACCACGGGACACCTCGGGGCACCACATCGATCTCACTATCGATCTCACTTTTTGGGACACCACGGGACACCACGGGACACCACGGGACACCACAGAACACCTGTCAATCTCAGTACCGATCTCACTATCGATCTCTTTTTTTGGGACACAACGGGACACCACGGGACACCTCGGACACCACATCGATCTCAGTATCGATCTCACTATCGATCTTACGCAACGGGACACGACAGGATACCACGGGACACCTGTCGATCTCACTATCGATCTCACTATCCATTTCACTTTTTGGGACACCACGGGACACCTCGGGGCACCACATCGATCTCAGCATCGATCTCACTATCGATCTCATTATCGATCTCACTCAACGGGACAGCACGGGACACCACGGGACACCACGGGACACCGGCGGGACACCGCGCGGCACCGGCCGCCGGATGAGAAACATTCAGTCTGTCCGCGGCCCAGCCACAAGAGGATTTCGGGACACCGCGAGGCACCGGCCGCCGCGGGAGTTACATTTGGTCCGGCCGCGGCCCAGCCACAGGAGGATTTCCTTTCGCCCGCCCACGCAGCTTCGCCTCGCCCGCACGCGCGCACGCACGCACGCACGCACGGCACGAACCCGAAACCGAAATCGATTTCCCGGTAGGGGGGGTCTCCGTTTCACGTCGGATTCCCCCCCCAACCTCGGATCCATCTACACATACCTATACGACCACCCTTCTGGTGATAAGGAGGTTCGGGGGGGGGAGGAACCAACGTCTCACTCGATCGGTCTCACTATCGAGCTCACTATCGATCTCACTATCGGTCTCGCTCGATCGATCTCACAATCGATCTCACTCGATCTATTTCATTCGATCGATCTCACAATCGATCTGACTATCGATCTCACAATCAATCTCACTATCGATCTCACTATCGATCTCACAATCGATCTCACATTCGATCTCACTATCGATCTCACAATCGATATCACAATCGATATCACAAATAACGTCTTCATCATCATCAACATCATCGTCACCAACGTCATCATCATCATCATCATCATCATCATCATCATCATCATCATCATCACCAGCATTATTATCATCATCATCATCGGGACCCCATCATCATCATCACCTCATCACCATCATCGTCAACATCATCATCACCATCATCATCATCATCATCGGGATACCATCATCGTTACCATCATCATCAGCATCATCATCATCGGGACCATCATCATCATCATCATCATGAACAACATCATCAACATCATCATCGGGACACCATCATCATCAGCAACATCATCTTGATCAACATCATTCTCATCGGGACACCATCATCATCGTCACCATCATCATCATCACCATCATCATCATCATCATCGGGACACCATCAGCATCATCAACATCAGCATCATTATCATCACCATCATCGGGCCACCATCATCAAAATCATCATCATCACCTCATCATCCTCATCGTCAACATCATCATCATCATCGGGGCATCATCATCGTCATCATCAACATCATCAACATCGCAACACCATCACACTCATCATCAGCAGCATCATCATGAACCTCATCATCATCATCGGGGCACCATCATCATCTTCATCATCATCTTCCCATCATCATCTCATCATCATCAACAGCATCATGATCATCGACATTATCATCATCATCAGGACACCATCATCATCAGCATCATCATCATCGGGACACAATCATCAGCACCACCATCACCATCATCATCATCAACATCGTCAACATCATCATCATCATCATCACCGGGAAACCGTCATCATCACCACCATCACCATCACCATCACCATCACCATCACCATCACCATCATCATCATCATCATCATCATCATCATCATCGACATCATTATCATCATTATCATTATCATCATCATCATCATCATCATCATCATCATCATCATCATCATCGGGACACCGACGGGACACGGGCGGGACACCCTCGGGACACCGCGCGGCACCGGCCGCCGGAAGGGAGTCATTTGGTCCGGCCTCGCCTCAGCCGGAGGCGGGACACCGGCGGGACACCGCGCGGCACCGGTTGCCTTCAGGGAGTCATTTGGTCCGGCCGCGCCTCAGCCACATGAGTTTTTCTTCTCGCCCGCCCACGCAGCGTCGCCTCGGCCGCACGCACGGCACGCACGAACACGAAACCGAAACCGATTTCCCTGTAGTGGGGCTCTCCGTTCCACTTCGATCTCACCCCTTCACCTCCGACATCAGAGTGAGGGGGCCGAACGGTCATTCATTGTCCCTTGTTGCGTGGCTGAAGTGCGGATCCGTGGTGAGGATTCTGCTTGTTGTTGTTGTTGTTGAACTTTCATTTCTGAAGAATAATTATTGTTGATCCCCCCCGTCCTGTGCACAGTGTTTTTTTTATTGAAGTGCCCTTCCCCGGGCTCGCACCCTGTTTTTTTATCAGGGAAAGTCTTGAGGGTCAAACTGTGTCGTTGGCCCCCGGTTTACAACAACTACGGCTCCCGCCTCAGGCTTCCTCACAATTTAGCCAGGACCCCAGCTCTCGCCCGAGACTTCTTCGCGTTTTATTCAGGAATCGCGCTCTCGCTTGGGACTTGCTTAGAATTTATTCTCCCGGCGCTCTGGAGTCGCGCTCTCGCTGGAGACTTGCTTGCAATTTGCTGAAGAATAGCGCCCGTGCGTTGGAATTCCTTGCAATTTACTCAAGCGCCGCGCTCCAGACACCCAGGCACCCATGAGTCGCGCTCACGCTCAGGACTCCCTCACAGATTACATAGGAATCGGGATCTCGCTGCCCTTCGTGGCCCCCGATGCAGCCCTTCGTGGCCCCCTCGCTTTGTTACGCGGCCCCGTTGCAGCCCTTCGTGGCCCCCTCGCTGCCCTTCGTGGCCCCGTTGCAGCCCCTCGTGGCCCCCTCGCTGCCCTTCGTGGCCCCGTTGCGTCCCTTCGTGCCCCCCTCGCTGCCCTTCGTGGCCCCATGTATGTATGCCCTCCGTGGCCCCCGCTCGCTTGCGCCCGTGGTGGCCCCGTATGCATCTGTCCTACGTGGCCCAGTTGCTACCCTCAGTGGCCCCATCGTTGCCTTCTGTGGGCCCGCATTGTCTGCCCTTCGTGGCCCCCGCTCCTTCGCGTTTTCGTGGCCCGATACGCATTCCCTTCGTGTCCCCGCTGTTGCCCTTCGTGGCCTACTTCGTGTCCTTGTGGCCCTGCTGCCGTTCTCTTTCGCTCTAGCTTTCGCTCGTCGTCGTCGTCGCCGTCGTCGTCGTCGTCGTCGTCGTCGTCGTCGGTCCCCTGTCCGTCCCTCTTGGGGTCGGGTCGACGGTCCGTGGCCGCCCCGCCGATCAGCGCTGCCGCTGGCCAGGCCGACGGTCCGCGGCCGCCCCGCCGCTTGCCGGGGCCCGGCCTGCAGGGAAGAAAGGTATACCCCCCAAAAGGGGTTCGATCGAAAACGAAGAGGGCGGGTAATCATCGAGGGTTTGGGAAATAGGCGTTATTGGACACTCGAGCAGATAAGGGCGACCAGTCTTAAAATGATTGTTGTTGTTGTTGTTGTTGTTGTTGTTGTTGTTGTTGTTGTTGTTGTTGTTGTTGTTGTTGTTGTTGTTGTTGTTGTTGTTGTTTTTGTTGTTTTTGTTGTTTTTGTTGTTGTTGTCGTCGTCCCCCCCGCGACCCACCCCGCGACCAACCCGCGACCCACCTCGCGACCCATCGGCGACCCAACCCGCGCCCCAATCGCGACCCACCCGCGACCAAATCCGCGACCCACCTGCGACCCACCCGCGACCAACCCTCAACCCACCCGGGGACCCACCCGCGACCCGGCCCGCGACCCACCCGTGACCCACCGTCGACCCACCCGCGACCCATTTGCGACCCAACCCGCTACCCACCCTACATTGTTTTAACAAATATCGGCGCCTGCGGCGGGCTCGTTGTATAGCTTGAATTTTTTTCCTGCGGCGGGCTTCTTCAAAACCTCGCAGACTACGACGTCCCCGTCGCCCCCTCACTCTTATCCGCAACTGCAGGGTGCTACACATATATATATATATATATAGAGAGAGAGAGAGAGAGAGAGGGAGAGAGAGAGAGAGAGAGAGAAAACAAAAAGAAGAGACACTTATTGCGAAGGCCTTGCGGCCGGGGCCGCCGACCCTGAATGGCGAACGAGCGCTCTCGGGGGCCTCTTGGGGGTAGTTTGGGGGCCTCTTGGGAAGCTCTTGGGGGCCGCTTGGAAGCCTCGTGGGGACCTCTTGGGGCTTCCTGGGGGTCTCTTAGGGACCTCTGGGAGCCTCCCGAGAGCTTCTCAGGCCGAGGGCTCGAAATGTCCGTTCGGGTCCCCCGTCTGGGCTCCTCCTTGGTGTGCCGTCTTGGGGGCACGTTCGGCTGTCTTGGAGGCCTCTTGGTCGGTCTTGGGGCCCTCTTGGGTTGTTTTGGGGCTCTCTTGGATGCCTCTTGGGCCATCTTGGGGCGCTCTTGGGGGCATCTTGGTCTGTCTTGGAGCGTCGGGAAGCTGACAAGGCGAGAATGCCTAAATCTTTTAAACATGTACGGGAAATCTATGATTTTTGCCCCTTGGGACCCTCTTGGAAGTCCTCTTGGAGGCCTCTTGGGGCGTTTCGGAAACCTTTTGGGCCGTCTGGAGTCTACTTTGGCGACTTTGGACCGATGCTTCGGCGATTTGGGGCCCTCGAGGATCGTCTTAGGGGCATCTTGGGGCAGTTTTGCCGCGTCCTGCGGCTTTTCTTGGCCGCCCAACCTCCCGAGGGGGAGTCGGTCGTATCTGCCCCGGGACCCCCCCGTGACCCCCCCCTCGGGACCCCATTCCCGGGACCCCTCCCCCTCCCGGCGGGCAGGGATCAACGGGAAGGGGCTTCCGGTCGAATCAACTACAACGTTGCTCAATTTCGCTGTGGCTGGCGCGCTCGAGGAGGAGAATCCGGTTAACGTGGGGGGAACGGCGACGGGCCGAGGGAAAAGAGGGGAAGCGAGCGGCGAAGGCGACGACGACGACGACGACGACGACGACCGCGACGACCGCGACGACAACGACGACGACGACGACGACCGCGACGACGACGACGAGTCAAACGGAACAGCCTCTTCCACACGCCGACAGGGTCGGCGGATATTTGGAGAGAGAGAGAGAGAGAGAGAGAGAAAGGAGGAACAAAGGGGGGACGACGGCCAGATGGGCGAGGAGGAGGAGGCGGAGGAGGAGCAGTAGCAGCAGAACCGTCTGCAGGAGGAGGAGGAGGACATTTCAGAGGCCCAGCTGCTGCAGCTCAGCATCTGGCGCCTTCCGAGGAGGGAGCAGAAGCAGGCTCAGGATGAGAGGGAGGGAGGGTGGAGGTACGGTGAAGAAGTAGGATGACGAGGATGATGAGGAGGATGAGGAGGAGGAGGAGGAACCGCATGAGGAGAAGGAACCTTGTGACAAGAGAGAGGGATGGATGGGGAAGGAGAAGGAGTTGGAGGAGGGTGAGGAGCCATCGACGCCGCCGCAACACGGTGGGAGTCGGATCCGACCGCCGTCCGTCCAGGGCGTCTTCTCGAACGTCGTGAAGTGCACCGACCAGCAGGACAATATACAGGTGGCCGCTGACGCCTTACGCCTGTCGTGGGTTGTCAGGAGGCTGCGACGTGAGCAAAGGCCTGAGGTACAGGAGATGGAAGAGGCGAGTGCAAGTGACAGAGGTCAGCCCTAACGGGGTTCCATTCATCACGTCTGATCCCCTCTGTCTGACCCGACCGGGCCAGTTCCGTGTATCGAGCCGCGTACAGCGGAGGCGGAGGAGCGGAGGCCTGCCTTTTGGAGCCTACGCGCCCTGACCCTCCCCTCCCCCTCAGCGGACCCGGGCTTGGGAGCTATGTGCAATGTAGCCGGCCGAAGTTCGGGATATGGCCCTTGCTGGCCCACCCCGAAGGAGGAGCATTCACTCTCTGCGTTCTTTTTGCGCTCGTGTGAGATGCCCTCGTCTGCACGGCTTGATCCGCCTCGACATTCTGGTCAGATCGCAACCGAGGTTCTGCGGCTTGATTTTGATGACCCTTCTGGGCGTCACAAGAAATCGGGACGATCAGTTTCTCTTACGTTCGAACCTCTATTAGAGAGGCTCGTCTTGGCCCCCAGGGTCCATCAGATAACGACCTGCGTCGAAAGACTAATCCCCGGGAATGGGGTTGGAAGGTCTGGGGTCCCCGTCGAACCGTGGCCACAGCAAATGACATTGGATTCTATGGGAAGTCATCCGGATGCGCCAGCCGTACATATATAGTTACGCCGATCTTGGGCAGGAATTTGATGGGCGAATGAATGGTCCTGCCGAGATCGGGGTTTATGTATAGTTGGAGCCCCCCAACCTGCTCCAGCCTCGGTTCTTGATCGAGCTGCACCTTTCGTCAGCATCGAAGCGATCGACGCTGGAGGATGCCCAGATGTTCCTCCCCGTCCGGAGGGGGCGATGATGTGGTGCGAGAGGGGATGCTACCTGTCAGCGTGTATTAGGTGGAAGACGTTCTCGGTTGCCTGTGCCTCACGTGTATGTTCGACTGGACTTGTTTTCTGGGCTTGTCGTGCCCAGGCTGCCCAACGCTTCGGCTCCTCGTGGCCCAACAGCTTGCCTAAGAAAACATGTCCCTCGCCCCGGTGGCCACTCCGAGCGGATCCGACTCGATTTTCTGCCACGTGCTTGATGCGGCCCGATCCGCCGCACAGTCCGATTCGATCCAACCGCACGGGCCGGTGTGGACTGCGCCGCACGCGCCTACCCCCCCATTGCCCCCATCCCCCACCCCCACGCGCCTCTCCCCTGCGCCTGCTCCGCCTGCGCCGCCCCCTCCCGTCAGCCCGTTCCTCCGTTTCACCACTCGGCCTCCCCATGACTGCGGTGGAGGGGCTGCGGGCCGCGGGGTGTAGCTTCAGGAGTTATGTACAAACATATGCAACCTGTATTACCCACTTGGCCTCTCTCCGGCCCTGTGGACTCTCGAGCCTCTGATCTGTGCCCACCTTGGCTCCAGGGCGCCCTTGAGTTGATCCGGACAGCTACCAGGCTCACATATTATTATTGAGTATCTGCGTTCAGAGAGCGCAAAAGGAGATCTTGCCCACCATGGGCACTCTCACACGTGATAGAGTTTGGCAATAACTGTTGGACAAGGATGTATCACGATCAACTTGATTGTGACATTGATGATCGAGGTTGTCGAGTTTTCAATGTCAAGGCTACCGCCAACACAGCTACCAAACTAGTTGGTAGCAGGGCTGGTCTGGCTCCACGGACTGGTTCGGGATGACTTCCGAAGGAAAGAACCATTGTTCCATCATGAGACGGTGACGTCACATAACTTGATTCCTATGTGGTGAGAGTCATGCTCTACGTCTGATTCGCCGAGATGGACGAGAAGGGTGTCGGTTGATCAAGGTTCATGAGCATGCTGAAGGGCAGAGCTTGGCAAAAGGGGTTCGGATGTATCACAATATGGACATGTTACACGCCATCGAGAAGGATCCAGGTATTTAGTTGCCAATGGGTGTGGTCCAGCTCCTGAGCTACCTGATGGAAAAGATCGGCATCCTGGAAGTAGAGGGCGCGAGCAAGCCTATGAGGACTGTCGCGAAAAATGCGCTTAGGAGGCCCAGCGTTTCGATGCGATATTACCTGACGCAAATCGATTCACAAGAGGACGGTTTGCAGAAGGCCATCAAGCATATGGACAATTCGCCCGACGAAAAGAAGTCTATCTCCGCGGAGCTGCTCAGGGCATTGTTTCATTTGGGAAATGCAGGCATCCAAGACCACGAGCCTTCGCAGATCTTGGCCTCAGTGTAGAAGGGGTGCCGCTACACCAGCATCCGTTCCACTTCGACAAGGAGCACGAGCGCGACAGCGGCTACAGGCACCACGGCGAAACGCAGTGGCAGCAGAGGAAGAACTACGTGGCCGAGGGCGACGACGAGCAGCACGTCGACCAGTATGAGGATGAACATCTCAGCGAGAAGCGCGAATAAATACTCCCAGAAGCTGCCACAACCATGCCAGCAGCCGGCGACGAGGACATCAGCAAACCCGTCGCTGGCGCGACCGTGCGGAGCAGTGTTTTCGCCGCCGTGTTCGGCGGAGTCGATCATCTAGGACGCCGGCCAGAAGCGCTCTCGCATCGGGGGCGCCTGGAGGCCAAGAGGGGGAACGACGACAAGGTGACCAGGGCGCGTGCGCTCTGGCGCACCAGGCACTGCGCCAAGGCGCGGAACTTGTCGTTCCTCAGGAAGCTTTGAGAGCTGCTCTTTACCGCGCGGGTGGATGGCCGCGCGCGTGGACTACGACGCCCCAAGAAAGGAGAAGGCTGCCAAACATGAGCGGCCCATCGCGACGTCAGACCCTCACTTCAACGCGACGGTCGTCGCACTTGCTCGAAGAAGGATGGCAGTTTGTACTAGTCTTACCACGAGGAAGTCCTAGGCAAGGTTACGGCGCCCAGAGCAGCCGACCCAAGGATTTTGCGCAAGGAGCGGGCCAGCGCCATCGCGAAGCAGCCAGGGTGGTCAGCACGGTGCCTGCGGGCCAGAGGTGACGTCGACATGGCCGACGCCCAGCCTGCCCGCGCCGCGCAGAGACGGACGGTGGCGAAGCCGCTCCCGCCAGAGGTAATGCGCGCTACTGGCACCGAGGAGGCGGATGTCGACATCCACCCGACGGGCGAGTTCGAGTGCCGGGAGCGCGTGGGCGTCAATGCCACGACGTGCCACGGGACAAGCCCAGACGGGCAGGAGTGGTGAGACGCGGCGCGGCGTCTCGCGTGGAATGTTGATGCCAAGCGGCTGATCGAGGATGAGCTGGGCGAGGCGCTGTTCGCGGTCGAGGAGATTTTCGCGCCGCTGCCCGACGACGCCAGAAGTGGGGGTCTTGGTTGGCGGACGTTGCGTCGCCTTTTCATGAATGTGCAGCTGCAGAGGAGGGGCGCAAGCTATGCGCTCTTCCTGCTCCACTTCTGCGAGGTGCTCTCGGGCTTGGTGACGAGTGCTTGGCGCAGATTCTCAAGGCGCATTATGCGCTCGCCAACGCTCCAAGGCGCTGGTTCGAGGATTCGAAGACGGACTTGGAGTGCAGCGGCCAGTGTGCCTGCAAGCGCGAATGTTGCCTAGTCACCATGCTCAGTTCCACAGGTCACGCGATCAGGCTCACAGTCGCCCGCGCGGGCGATTTCAAGATCGCGGGCGACTTGGGCGCCCGGAGGTTCGTGGCTGAGCGCGGGCGTCTCAAGACCGAGTATCGCCGTGGCAAGTGGAAGTCAGACGATGAGGGCAACTTTGCGCGCGGCGCGGAGGTCTCCAGGAAACCAGACGCGGGCTTCAGGCATAGCCGAGAGAAGTGCGCGGATACCACCTGGTCTTGCAACGTCATGCGCGCAGGGCGGTCGAGCCTGGATGACGGGCCGGCGCGGGGCGAGGTTGCGGCTCGCCAGGAGATTCTGGGTCATTCGCATTGGCCCTCGACCAAGGCGATGCGGCAGATCGCCGTCGACGCGCCCGCGCTGCAGGCCATCGCATCAACCAGCTGGTCAAGACGATACGCAGGTGTGCTTAGGCCCGCATTGCGAGTCGCCCCTGCGAGGGTATGGCTTGGGTGCGCTGGTTCGACGCACGGTGGTCTTCGTGCGCAGCGGGCAGCAGCCACGGTGGCTACGCCATCTGTTTTGGAGCGTGCTCTCGAGGGTGGAATGCTGAGCGCGGACGTGCAGCGCAAGGGCGACGGGCGACGAGATGATTCGCTTGGGGCCGCATGATGCGATGGTCGCGCGTTGCAAGAGCCTCTACGACGCGGTTATCCGTTCGGAGAGCTCAGTTCTCGGTCTGAGTGGTGAGCGCGATACCGCGCGTGCGTGGCGTTCCAGCAGGGAAGGGAGTGCGGGGCAGAGCTGCGCCGGCTTCACTGTCGCGCCCAGGTAGCGGACGGCTGTAACAATGTCAAGTACGAGGCGCAGAAGTTACTAGACATTTTCATGTCCTGTAGCAGCTGGACGTTGGTGCACGTCCCAGGATTCGAGTCGTCACGCAAGCGAGTCCTCACGGGTCTCGGTGTTTTGGAGGAGTGGCCGACTTCACTGGACTCCCGCGAGCAGTAGTTCGATTTAGATGATGTTGGTTCCTGGAATGGCTTTGTTTACCGGCAGGCGCGCCAGTGTGCGGGCCATCAGAGCCCCATTTCTGCTCAACGAAGCTTGTCGGGGAATCTTCGGCCAACAGATGTGTATCCCTTTTTTTTTTTTTGCTTATATGGACTTATCTGTAGCCTGTGCCACCCCGTTGGCCTCTCCCCGACCCTGTGCACCCTCGTGCTTCTGTTCCGCACTCACATTGGCTCCATGGCGCCCTGGAGCTCACATTGTGCGAATGCGCTCGCAGAGCGCGTGTTAAGGTTTGACGGGAGACAGGTCGCTGGTGTACAAGAGGAGGTTATCACTGTAAACGTGTTCGGGACAGCGCTAAACAATCGATCTACTTCAATCAATCGAAATCAGGGCTACCGCCGACGCGGTTGCCAAACCAACGGGGCTCCCACGCGAGGGCGTGGGGGCCTCGGGTGCTACAGGTGCGTGGAACCTCCGACGCCCTTGCTGGCGGCGCCCACCAACGGGGTGGCGCCGGGGGAGCGGGTTTCTGAAAAGGCGGCGGGGTTTCTAAAAAGGCGCGGGGGTTTCTCGGAAACCATATTGGCTTCTTAGAAAGCCTTCTCAGAAGCCTCGGGGGGCTTCTAAGAAGGCGCCTGCCTTCTGAGAGCCCCCCGCCATCTTCGAAGGCCGCCCCCCCTCCCTTTTCCCCCTCCGCGTGGGCGCCGCCAGCCGTCCACTCGCACCCTGGAGCCCGCCTTTCCCGCTTCCATCTGACTGGACTGCAAAGGGTAGCTCTGGAGTCGACCACCTGACCGGGCAGCGTTTTTCGCTGCCGATGCTGCTGCTGTTGCCGAGTTGCTGCCGCCCGCGACCTCTGATTCGAGAGGGGGCGAGGGGTTCCGTCGCAGACGTGGCCCCACCATTGACTCCGCGGGCGCGCGCAAGTCGAAAAAGAAAAGACGGCATACACATACACTTTGGGAGCTCCTCGCGGATTTGTTGGATCGGCGCTGGGCCTCCCCTGGCGGCGGTCACGGCGCCGCCCTTGGCGCGCTCCGCGCGCCAAGGGGGGGGCTTCAGCGCAGATGCCAAAGATCCGCGCGGACCTCCAAAAGTTTGTGCCTATGCCGTCTGTTTTTTTGTTGTCCGCCATGGTATCGTGCTTCCCCTGCGCGCTGTGCCGCCGCTGTTCTACCCTCGGCAGGCCGGTGGGCGGGCCCGTGCGCCGCAGAGCGCCGCAGGCCGAAGCCGAGGATTGGCCCTGGGTGGCGGCCGTGAGGAGCTTAGACGTCGAGCCCAGGGACCCCGCACTGCCCGTGGAGCTCAGCCCACATCGCCAGGCCGCCCAAACAGGGCACAGAGCTTAGTGGGCCCTGGGGACGGCAGGGCTGTTTTTTCACGGTTCCCCCCCCAAAAAAAAACGCATTGATATTGGAAGCGGTAAAACCACGGCAACCGGAGAGCGGCGAACATCACGGTTCTGGGATAGTAGTTGGAACCGGAATCGGCAACAAGAACGGCTACGGAACAGGAAAAAACGGCGCCCGAACCGGCAAGCAAGACGGCAACACGAAACGGGAAAGAACACGGCTTTGTCGCCTCCGGGGCCCACTAAAGGGACAGAGTGACCGAAGCAGGTCCTGAATGATGCCCCCCTAAGTTCTCGGCTGGTACTGAAGCTCGTCCCTCCCCTCCTCGCACTTCCTCTTACCATCCTCATCACCATGAGTGGCCCTCATCTCCCAAACGATTATTAGCGGTGGCCGCTGCGGTGGAATAGTTATTTGAAAGTGTTGTTGGCATCCCAGTCCGTCCATACACCCACGAAGAAATAGATTCAGGTTCTCATTATTGAGAGAGTGTATTCAAGACCCATCTCGGTTAGACGGGATTGAGTGCGTTGCTCGAATAAGAAAACATTGCATTTGCATCAATTGTTGACGGTCCGCGCGGATTTCTTGGATCTGCGTTGAACACCCTCCCTGGCTTGCGGAGCGCATCAGCGGCGGCGCCGGAGGCGCTGCCAGGGGGTCTAGCGCAGATCCAAGAAATCCGCGCGGGCCGTCAACAGTTTATATTTATGAATTTGTAATTCATCCAATTGCTAATTCATCAGCGATATGCGGCGCGATTCGGAGCCCGACTTTCCCCATCCCGACGTCGCCCGTGCGTCGCCGATGCGGCGCGACCTCCCGGCCCCGTCCGCTCTGGCCCCATTTGGTTGGCCTCCACTGTCTGCTCTTGGGCAACTGTAAGTCCGCGTCGGACTTGGCCCGGCTCCGCGAGCTCGGTGTCACGCACGTGCTGAACGTCGCCGGCGCCGCTGCGTCCAACCCCTCTGTGGACTACGCTGGCGCCGGCATCGCGCACCACTCCATCGACGCCGAGGACGACGAGCACTACCCGATCATAGCTAAGCACCTGGAGGAGGCGCGCGGTTTCATCAGGGCCGCCCGCGAGTCTGGCGGTCGTTGCTTGGTGCATTGCGTGGCCGGCATCAACCGCTCGGGCGTGGTGGTCGCTGCGGAGCTAATGCTGCACGAGCGCCTTGAGGTGCTCGGACGGGGCTAGGACGAGGATTGATCCGTTCCCGAGCGTTCGAGAACGCTCTCAGAGCGTTCTGCAACGCTCTGAGAAGGCCGCGACGCCCGATACATCCTCCTGAGCCGCCTGATCTCAGAGAGTCTCGATCTATCCTCACCTGAAGTTGTCTGCGTCGTCCTGGCTTCGTCTCAGGTGCTGGAGGCCGTCCGGCGCTGCAGGGCCGCCAGGGGCAGGGGTCTCATCGGCAACCGCGGCTTCCAGGAGCAGCTGGTCGCCTTGGCGCGCGAGCAGGGCCTGCTTGGGCCCCGGCCGGAGGGCCACGAGGTCAGAGGAGTAGCTTGCGCGTTGTCTTCGCCGTTTTGCGCCTCCAGGGAGGCCCTCGCCGTCACGGCTGGACCCGCCTCGAAATCCTGGCCAGGACGCACCCCTTGGAGAGGTCCGTGGAGTGGTTGTGTCGGGGCCAGGAGCATGTCCACTAGATGCTTTCTCACAACTTGGTGGCAAAGGTTGGCCCAAACGCACTGCACCTTTTTTGTTTGCTGCTCAGCGCCTGTCGCCAGGAGAACGGGCCGGGAACCTGCGCCGTCCTGTGGCAGCTTCTGCGAAGCCCCCTGGGGACGGGGCCCGGACACGCTCGGTTCCCACCGCGGCGTCGTGCCCGTTCCGTTCTCCCACGAGGGGCGCCCGCCGAGCCCGGCGCGGCCCCGGCCCCAGAGCGCCGCCAGCGCCCTGGAGCGCCTCGCGGGCTGAGCGCGGGCGGCCGCGGGCGTGCGGCCGCCCCGGCCCCCCGACGCGCGGGCGGCGTGGTCCGCAGCCGCGTGGTGGGCGCCCGCCCCTGCCCGAGTCCTGCGCGGCGCTGGGGCTCAGAGGAGGAAAAGGTGCCCTCACCTCTACCCTTCGGCCCTTCTCCCCTTCCCGGGCCTCCTGGGAGGCCCTCGTCGCCACCGCTGGATGCGCCTCGAAGTTCTTGTCAGAACGCCCCCCTAGAGAGGTCTGGGGAGTAGCGGTATGGGTACCTTTTGGTTCCCCAAGCTTCAGAACAGGAAGAAACACAGAAGCACAAAGGGTTTTATTGGTTTTACGCTGGAAGGGGGCGTCTTTGAGAGGGTGCCTGGCACGGATGCGGGGATCGGGGTGGCGTCGGTGTTTGGAGCTGGCGGTTTGCGTGGCAAGTGCGTTTAGCTGGTCGCGTTTGTTCGGAACGCGTGACGGGTGGAAAGGCCGCTCACAAGCAACCTGTAATCCTCTGCCCGCGGGCCAGAACAAACCGTCGCGCGCTCGCAACGGGGCAGGGGAAAGGGATGGTGTGGGGGGGTGAGCATGGTGTCCTCGTCGTTCCTGGTTGGTTGCCAGTCGCCTGGATAATAGGGAACAGTAATTACCCCCTCCCCGAAGGGGAAGGAGGGGGGTCCGAAGAAGAAACCCGCAAAACCACTCACGCCCAGAGGGTTGGTGGGAATTTTCTCCCTCTCCCTCCGCGCTTCCTCTTTCTCACCCCCGCTCCTGCCCCCTGTCCAGGTGGCTATCAAGATCATGCGATGCAACGACATGATGCGAAAGGCGGCGGAGAAGGAGATCGACATCCTGGAGCGGTTGGCCAAGGCAAGTGGTGTGTCGTCTCTTCAGCGCCGCCAGCATTCAGCCTCATCATCGTCATCCACCTTCTCCCCATCCACTCATAAGCCAAGTGCGTCTTTAGTTCGATCGTGTTGGTGTCTTTTGGGTGGGGAATGTCCGATTGCGTCCTCGTTTTGGTATGCGCCGTGCCCGTCGCAGAAGCTTCAAGGGAGCAGACACGGCAGACATGCTGATATCTTTCTGGTGCGTTTGGTCTTGCATCGTTTCTCTTATGCGTTTCGCCACCGGGTTTTTTTCGATTTGTAAAACACGTGTCTATTCAACACTACATGTCGCACGAGACCCTCAGTTTCGCAACCGAGGTCCCGAGCTGATAAGTGTCGAAGCGCAAGTGCTGATCACTCAGACCAGCTGCTGATTCAGCCATTGCCCCGTTTGGTTCCCATTTGCAACCCTTCTGTGACCAGCCTTTCTCTTGATGCGTGCCACGGGCTGCAGTCGTTGCGCAGGTCGGCCACGCCAGAACAGGAGCCCCATCGAACCGAGTTTTTTCTCGCCGTCTCCCCCTCGCATACAGTCGGACCGACGTGCAAGATCGAGACCGGTTCGGGGAGGGTACTCTAGTGTTCTTCGTGTTTGGTGGATGTCACGATGCATCCTGGGGAGGGTACCCTTGGATGTTGTGTTTCTTTTGGCCGGCGGTGGGTCTCGTGTTCTTGAGGGATGTTCTGATGGCCTAGGTCCAGGCACGGTAGCGCCACAGGACCCGACGGAAGTCAGCGTTGAACGATCAGGGCCGCGATCTGTCCAAGGTTGAACGATCGATGTGGTGTCAAAGACCCACCTACCGTGCACAGTCGGACAAGACCCCAACACGGTCGCACCCGTGGCCTCAGGACGGGGCTGGGACGAGGATCCATCCGTTCCAGAGCTTTCCGAAACGCTGTCAAAGCGTTCTCGAACGCTCTGAGAAGGCCGCGGCGCCCGAGACATCCTTCAGAACCGCGGGATCTCAGAGCTTCCCGATTGCTCCTCACTGGAATTTATCCTCGTCCTGGCCTCGTCCGAGGCCTCGCAGCCGCACCTCTCCACTCGGCGCTGAGCGCCCGCGCGCAGCGCCCGCGGCGGGCCACGGGCCCCGACGGGGCGGTGGCCCGAGCACCGAGCAGCCCCGCGCGTGCGGCGCCGGGTCCGCGAGGGGCAGAGGGCGCCGAGCGCACGCCCAGGTTCCTGGTCGGGCCGATTCTGTACAGTGATTCTTGTTTTATCCGTTGTTTTGCCGATCGGCGTGGGCTCCCCCTCCTCCCCCCCTCGCCCCCCACCCATGGAGTAGATCTTGGCCGTTTTTTGGCGCCCGTTTCGAGCGGGTGGAGTCTCCCCCAGAGGCAGCACTCTTGCAAACAGTCGCAGTACGCAGAGGTCTGGGGCCAGACCCCCCACCCCTCCCCTTTCCTCCCAATGTCGAAACGCCGAATCAAACAAACCGCTCACATACTTCGATGCTCGTTTTGGGTACATTTCTGGGGCCCACCTGATGGATCGGTTCGGCTCCAGTTCGGCTCAAGGTCGACTCAGGTTCGACTCAGGTTAGACTTAGGTTCGATACAGGTTCGACTCAAGTTCGACTCAGGTTTTACTCGAGTCGACGGACGTTCGATGCAGCTTCGACGCACGAGTGGAGCGAGTGGCTCCAGGAAGGTTCCGAGAACGAGCAGCCAAGTATACGCCGTTCGTTGGACGTAGGTGTTTATCGGGGGCACCGTAACGAGTACTCACGAACTGGTGCTTTGGACATTTGCCGAACGTTGCCCTTTTAGGGCCTCTTTCTGGCATTGCAGCGCTGCCCACCTCGGGGAGGGTCGGGTTCGCCGGGTCGTTGGCCAAAGTACCCGTTAGTGAATTCCTCGTTAGAGGGGCGCTGATCCAGGCCCAGGGTCTGTGCAGGCGTAGACGCCGGTCGTTGAACTCAGCTGTTCCTGGATTGCTTGGTCCCAATCGATGTTCGGCGCCTTCCTATTTCAAGAAGCGGTATGCTTTTGCTGTGTCTTGCTAGTCATTGGGAGGTCCTGAACCCAAGTTACTGCATAGGATACCCAACTACACGTAAGGGTGAGCCTTCGCCAGAGTTACCTTTGGTGCGGGCCCACTTGGGCCCCCGATCGCCGAGCGCGATGCGATGGTACCGTCTTGCGCGCTTGGATTCGGCTCCCGCGCAGCTTCCTAGAGGCCGGCACCAAAGGTCACTCTTGCCCAGGGTCACTCCTGGCGTGTAGCCGATCTACCAGGCCCGCACAGCAGTACACCGTATACTCTTGGGGTTGCCAACAATAGCGTGCGATGTGGCGCCGCAGGCCCGCTGATCACACGCTATCCCCCACCTTGGAGATAGCCTGCGCCGAAGAAGCCCAGCCAGGGACTGACGTGCACCGAAGGGGACCTCGCGGGGAGATCGCCTCACAGGGATAGCGTGCTTTTCGGAGATCGATGCTGCACGCTATCCGTCCAACGCAACCGTAGCTGGCGACCCCTCCTGTCGGTAGCAAACCACGGGAGCTTTGTGTGTGATCGTATTTCCACATTCAGAGTGCTTTCGCGTTCGCTAGCCACATCCCTCAGAATATAAAGCATCCTCCCTTTTCCCTTGCATCTGTTCATCCACGGAATTGAATGTGGTTCCCTTGAAAGACCAGGCAGGGATGCCGAACTGTATCATCCCCTCCAAAGTTCCTATCGTAGCTCTTATTGTGAGGATGCCTCAGACGAAACGCGATCCAGACATTCAAACATCGATATCTCTGAACTTCACAACCACCAGGGGGGTATCTTCACCAGTTTATGAGCAGAGCGCGCACTGTGCGTCGACCAGCGTCGAGTAAGCATCAATCAGGGTTGATTAGCGTCGACTCGAGTCGGTTAGCGTCGGTTCGCAAGAGCCAGCAAGATGGTATGGGAGGTCCCCATGAGTTGCTACAGAATTTCGCCCTGCACGCTCGAGCAGCAAGCTCCGCCCAGGCCGACCGCGCCAAGAAGAGCAACGTGATCCGCCTGATTCGGACCTTCAGCTACCGCGGGCACCTGTGCCTCGTGTTCGAGTGCATGTGGGACAACCTGCGGGTGGGGCAAGGAGGGAGAGAAGTGGTGGAGGAGGGAGGAGGAGGAGGGAGGAGGAGGTGACAGAGCGATAGAGAGGCGCGTCCAAACTGCCCGGACGCGCCGTTCAGATGAACTCGCACCGTGCACTTCTAGGTCGGGTGTTGGCCCTTCTCTAACCGAGCGAGTTTCGATTGTTGGTGTTAGCTCAGGTTTTGGGCTTACGCGAGAGCCCCTTACAAGTGACTCGAAGGTTCCGGACCTGGCCCTCACCATCCGCAGAACAGGCACACCGACGACAGAAGACGACCGGCCTCGGCCATCGCGTGGCCGAGGGCGCGGAAGATATTTCAAAATCGGCCAGGCGGCCCCAGTCTGGCTCCGCGCCGAGGCCGAGGTGTCGGTCCCAAGCCGGCCTGAGCCGCACGCTCCTTGGAGCTGGTCGACCCAGCGCCCTCCACACCGCCGCCTCAAGCACGAAGGCTCTCAGTCGACGCGGCCGTTGGGCTCCCCGCACCCGGCCCCGGGCTGGGTGTCCTCGGAGGCCTCCGGGAGGCCATCTTGGGCACGGCCTGCCCCCTTGCCTGGGGAAGCCTTCGAGCAGGCCTGGCGGCCTCCACCGAGGCTCTCGCGGCCTCCGACGTGAACGGTGAAGCCCAGACCTCGCCCGACGGGGCAGAGAACCGAACGGCGAGCCATTTAAGGGCTGCACTCGGGTCGCAGGGTTTGAGTTTTGCCATCGTGCGGAGGTGCTGCAGGCACCTTGTAGACATATTGCACTCTGCCCACCTGCACTCACGCAGCTTAGCACAGCCCTTATGGGTATATACGATGGCGGGTCCGACAGGGGGACAGGGCTTTCGGGGTTCAGGCCGATCATCTTTACGGCAGAAGCCCAGCTTCAGCACCTTACAGCACGCCCGCCCCAAGTATTTTGCGTACTGCTGTGCCTCTTTCGAGGCACGTTTGTATAGATACACCTGGACATCTGATGCCCCACCACTTTCCCACTGTCCCCACCACTGTCCCCACCGCGGTCCCACTCTCCCCATTGTCCCCACCACTTCCCCACTGTCCCCACTGTCCCCACCACTGTCCCCACCGCTGTCCTGTCCCCACCGCTGTCCCACTGTGTTGTCCCTCTCTCCCAACTGTCCCCACCACTGTCCCATTGTCCCAACCGTCCCCGCCACCGTGCCCACTGTACCACCGTCACATGGTCCCACTGTCCCCACTGTCCAACTGTTCTCAGTGTCCCACTGTCTCCACTGTCCCCACTGTCCCCACTGGCCACTTTACCACTGTCCCATTTTCCCACTGTCCCCACTGTCCCACTGTCCCCACTGTCCCACTGTCCCCACCGTCCCCACCACCATCCCCACCACCGTTCCCACCACTGTCCCCACCACAGTCCCCCATCCAGAGTGGGGGAGGAGGGGGGATCGTTTGCTGGCGGCGAGGAGGGGGGTGGAGGGGGGAGGGTTCGAGCCGGTAGTGACCCCTCTCCCTTTTGGGACGGACCGGGGGGCGGAGGGGGGACGGGTCTGGAACCCCAGTGACCCCCCCTCGGTTTTCGAGGGGGGGGGGGGTTGAAACCCCCAGTGCCCCCCCCCCCGTCCGGGTTTGCTGCCAGCAGCGGCGGAGCGCGCTCTTTCACACACGAAGAGGCCACGGCATGCCGTCGCAGAGCAGCGCGCAAGTGTGCAGCGAGCCGTCCTGCGGCGCAGCGAAGAGCCGGCGCCCCTGTGGTTCCCTCGGTAGGGGCCGCGAGGTGAGGCAGCGAGCCTCTCTCTCTGGGCGGGCTGGCCCAGCCAAGAGCGGAGCTGAAGCCCCAAGGCGAGCTGAAAGAGGGAGAGGGCGAGAGAGAGAGAGAGATAGCGAGACAGAGAGAGAGAGAGACACACACACACACTTGTCTATAATTATATGTAGTTCTATTTATTCAGGCGTACACGTAGCTATATGTATGTATGTATGTAGTAGTTAGAGAGATGAAGAGAGAGAGAGAGAGAGACAGAGAGAGAGAGAGTGTGTGTGTGTGTGTGTTTGAGCGAGAGAGCATTATAAGGATCAGGAGGGGAAGCAGGATCACGGGAAGGCGGAGGAGAGGAAATGAGGGGAGCGGCGACGAGGATGACGGAGTTGGATCCAAAAAGGTTGCCAGCGCTGGGGCGAGAGCGCTATTTGAACAACGCGTGAGCAATGCACCGATCGAATGTGGCCATCGTTCGAGCGAGGGCACACTCATTCAAGCTCCGAGGACGTCCCGAGCGAAACAACACAGGAAACGCACACAGCTTGAACCTTTGATTTGAAAATACCGTGCACGGGAGAGGCGGCGACATCGCAGGATACCTGTCACAGGAGAGAAGAGGATGAGGATTTGCAACAAGATAAGGTAAGATGGAAGGGAAAGGTGTCCAAGCCACCTAACGCAGAGATATGAGACAAAACCTAGGGGTCCTCATCCTCCTCCGACAGAGCACCCCCCCCCAGCCGACGGGCCCCGCCTCTTCCTGCTCGGGGAGGGCGCGGGCCTGCCAGCTCTGCAGCGCTGACGCGTCAAATCCGAGTCGCCGTGGACGGGGAAGGGAGGTTGGGAGAGGGGGGGCAGAGGGGCAGGGGGCAGGGGCGGTAAAGAGGGGTTGACGGGAGATAGACGGAGGAGGAGGAGGAGGAGGAGGAGGAGGAATAATGATGGAGGGAGGAGGATGAAGAAGGATGGAAGGACGGAGGAAGCATGGAGGTCTCCTCGGGGGCTGCGCGCGCTGCGAGGCGGGAGGGGCCCTGATCGCAGTGGGGGTCGCAAGGGGCTGGATTCCAGCATACCGGATGCGTCGGCGACAGAGAGGATGGATGGATGCATGGATGGATGGATTGATGGCTGGAATGATGGATGGACGGATGGATGGAGGGGGGGAGGGAGGGAGGAGGAGGAGGAGGAGGAGGAGCAATTGGGAGGATGAGGAGGGGGAGGAGGTGTCCGGGAACGGAGAAGGAGGAGGAGGATGGGGGCGGAGCGAAGTGGGGCAGGGGCGCGGGAGGAGCGAGGTTGAGGAGGCTTCGGTCCCTCTTTCGAGTTGCCGCGCGGCAGGGGCTAGGCTTCATCACCAATGGAACGCATGTCCGCCCGTCCCAGACGGGAACCAAGCGCCACGGTCTTCGGAAGACCACTGCGGCAGGTTCGTGCCGCATCCACGCGGCGGTGACGCCGGCGAGGGGCGTTCAAGATTGGGCACCCGTCTGTGGCTTGCTCCTGGGCCCAGGTTCACCTGAGTTTGCCATGCAGTTTCGCAGCCCGAGCGGCGAGCATAAATCGGACGTGGCCCCGCAAAACTTGCGAGGGTCGACCACTGGGCCCCGCAGGCCTGCTCATCGACGTGGGCTTCTTCGTCGGCGTCGTCGTCGTTGGACCCTGTCGTGGGAATCGCGGCAAGAAGCTGATGCCGCCTACTCCGAGGCATGTTTGGTCACCTCCATGCCGACGCGACGTCAGTAAAGCCGTCGGTTGTGCCATGCGGTGGGCCCCCATGCACGCACCAGGTATTTCGACATTTATGGGCTGCACCATGGGTTCGGCCATACATGAGTTGCGCCATAATCAGGCTGCGCACTGGCTCGGGTCATCAATCTACTGCGCCATCGAGCACGCCTTGTGTTGCGCCATCATGGATTGCGCCATAGGTCGCGTTATGGGTAACGTCACGGATTGTGCCACGCATGGGATGCGTCACAGGTTGCGTCTCAAGTTGTTTTTGCGATGGGTTGCGCCGTTCATGGGTGCGGCATACGTCGCGTCATGGGTTGCGCTATGGATTGCACCATTCGTTGGTTGCGCCATTGGTTCCACTTGCCATGGAATGCGCAATCTCTGTATTGCTCTACGGCTTTGCGTCGTCCATGGGTTGCGCTCATGCTAATGCTACGCTATCCATGGGGTGTGCTGCATGTTGCACAATGGATTGTGCCATAAATTGCGACATGCATCAGGCCATCCGAGGATTGCAGCACAGGTTGCACCGTGGGTTGTGCCGTCCATGGAGCGCGCGATCATTGCCTCTCCATGGGTTGCGTCATAGGTTCCGCGATATGCTGCACCCTCGGTTGCCGAACATGAGAGAGTCTGCTTGTGGCTGCGCCATACATTGCATGCCCGGCTGCCGACCATGACGCGGCTTTCTATTGGTTGCGCCATCCGATGCGCCCGAGCACGGCGTGTTATTGGTTGCGCCATGGTCAGCGCCCGCGATTGTCGATGTTATAGATTGCGCCCCAAGTCGTGCCCTCGGCTGCCCAACATGAACGGGCTTCAGTTGGTTGTGCCCTATATTGTCCCCTTGCCTGCCGAACATACAGTGGGGGCCCATGTCAAGAAACACCCTGCTTGCCTCCATGGTGCACTGGGTGTCTTGAGTTTCGATTGTTTCGCTACGCGCTATGGAAAGCGTGACGTTCCCACACCAAAAATACGTGGACGTCCTGGGGTCTCAGGGTTGGGTTTCTTGTGGTAGGTTTCTTGTGGACTGGCCTCCGCTGTACAACGGCTTGTGCCGCAAGTTGCGCCCTCAGCTGCCCATCATAACTCGGCCTGCCATTAGTTTCGCCACGGGTTGCGCTCTTTGTCGCAACGACTGGCAGGGTCTGCTCACGGGCACATATGGCCGGACGGTCAGGCAACCAGTCAACCAGTCAGCCAGAGCACCTCACGAAGCACAAGCTCGGGCTATGCCCCGAAGAACACCCACTGCGCAAAAGTCATAGGACAGATGTGGCCGAGAGCCTCTGGGGACCCGGAGCGGAGAACGTTCAAGGATGAGCCTTTCAAGCGGTACCAGAACTAGGGCCCACGTCAAAGCAGGAGCCCTTTACCGCACATGGCAGCACCCCCGGAGAAGGCATACAGCCAATACGCTGACATCAGGACCGATTTGGGCTCGAGGTGCTAGGGTTTTCGGGCCGTTCCTTAGATTAATGTCGGGTGACCTGTTGGTGGTTTAGGCCTGCCGTGACCAGAAAAGTTCTTC